TAAGGTACCAGATATGTGTGGATCACTTTCCAAACTCAAAAGTAAAAGCAAATGCACACAACTTTAATGATTAAAAGGTAGCAGAGGAGTAGACTCAAAAACAAATATGATAGATTATATGAAAATATAAAAGGTAGTTATTTTGTAGAGTAAGTTTACATAGGAAATGGCAACTATAGAGTCAGTCAAAATTTTCTTTAAGAAATTAATCATTTTAAAGTATTTTTGGTTTTAATTGTATGTGTTAGTGTATTGTGTACATTTATGTAAGTGCACTGTGTGCATGCTTTGTACCTGAGGCCAAAAGAAGGTGCTGGATCACCTGGGACAGGACTTACTGATGGTGGTTAAGTCTTTGTGTGTGTACTAGCCACTGAACCTAGGTCCTCTGCAAGAGCAGCAAGTGCTTTTAGCTGTTGAGCCATCTCTCCAGCCCCAAGAAATGAATAAAAAAAATGAGACAGTATCATTGTGCATTCCAAGCTGTCTTTGAATTCTTCATCCTCCTTGATCTACCTTCTCAGTGTTGAGATCACAGGCATGAACCCCCACACAGAGAACAGAACTGAATAATTCAACAATTTAAAATTATGTTGGTCAATTGATTGATTGATTGATTGATTTTGTGTGTGTGTGTGTGTGTGTGTGTGTGTGTGTTGTTGTTGTTGTTGTTGTTGTTGTTGTTGACAGAGGACAACTTTTAGGAGTCTGCTCTCTTCTTCCACCATGTAGGTTTAGGTCACTGGGGATCAAACTCAGGTCTTTAGACTTAGCACAAACACTTATATTTACTGAGTCATTTTGGTAATCCGAAAAATTAAAACTATCTTGAAGTTTAGTTTCATTTGCTTATTTGCTTATTCCTTCAACAACTACTTGTTGGATGCCACTATGTGCCAATACCAGACCTATTATTTGTTTTCTCTGTTGGGCTGTTGCAACAACTTCCTAACTGGTTTACCTATTTCCACCCTTGTGCTCCATGCCTCCCCTAGCCGATCATTGTTGGCACAGTAGCCAGAATGACACTTAAAAACATTCCAGATCTTGACCTTTGTCTGATCAATTAATTTTAACACAATATTTTAATCCCAGGGGCTATAATTGACCTCAGAGCCTTTCTGCCCCCTGTATCTGATTTCTACCCCCTTTTCCCCACCTCCAGTGTCAGGCTCCGTGTGCACCCTGGACAGAGTAGGCTTTCCTGGAGTCTTCTCATTTCAGGCTTTGAAGTTTGCTCTCCATCTCCCTTCGGTTACTTTGACTACTCACATGCCCCCTGGTCAGTTATGTCTTCTCTGATCACTGGATTAAAAAGAGCATCTCTCTGCACCATCCTCTCCCTCACTCTTCTGCTTTTCTTGCCCGAAACTCAATCACCACAAGATAACCTCTTTCTCTATGTATTCATATTATGTTTAGTCCCTCATCCCTCCTTACTTAGGATGCCTACTGTAGGAAGAGGGGCTTTGTATAATCTACTGCTATATTCTAGTACCTGGAGCAGTACTTTGTACACAGTGGGTAAACCTGCATACTTGCTGAATCACTGAGTGACCAAATATAGATCCTTTATTTTTTTGTGACCATTCATTGTTTAAATGCTGAGATAATTCTACTTAATAGTTAAAATAATTTTAATGAAATTATATAGTTTAAAAATATTATTCATACATCTTTACCCTTTCTTCTTTACCCAAAACTCCAATTCATGAGTAACGTTAATGGAAGCTCTGGAGAAACATTTTCCAATGGGGTAGTGGTGGTACAGACTAAAAGCATTGCAAAGCAAGCCAGGCTTTTAACTCTTAAGAACCTCAGCAAATGGACAATTTTTAAAGAGTTACTTTATTTTCAAGTGAAGTGTGTGTGTGTGTGTGTGTGTGTATGTGTGTGTGTGTGTGTGTGTGTGTGTATATCTAAGTGCATGTGCCTTCAGTGCATGTGCCAAAAGGGGAGTCACATTCCTTGGAGCTGGAACTACAGGCAGTTGTAATGTAATATGCGTCTTGGGAGTTGAACTCTGGTCTGATGGGTAATGTTCTTCTGTATATATGTTTGTCTTATTGGTTGATGAATAAAACACTAATTGGCCAGGCAGGATGATGGTAGGACTAGGAGACAAGGAGGATTCTCTTGGAAGTATAGGCAGAGAGGAGTCATCATGTGATCCTAGGAAGTGACAAAGCTGGGCAGAAACTGCCATTAGCTAACTATAGAGGTCTGGAGGTCTATACAAACAGGCAGGAAGTGACATAGCTGGGCAGAGTCAGAATATAAGCAGGGACAAACAGGAAATCACTCTCTTCGATTTTCTGTGGAGACACTGAGCAGTCACGATGTATCAGGCAAAGGAATTGTAGGTTTGGCTTTCCCTGGTAAGACCACGTGGAAATACTTAGATTTATAGAAATGGCTTAATAATTAAGTCAGAGCTAGCCAATAAGAAACCCTAGTCACGGGCCAACAGTTTCATAATTAATATAGCATCTGTGTTCTTCTTTGGGTCAGAGAAGGGTGGCAGGACCTGCCTGGCCAGAAAACTCAAGTTACACTGGTCCTCTGGAAGAACAGGAAACACTCTTAACCACTAAGCCATCTTTCCAGCCCATGAAAGTGGACATTTTGATGGCTGAAATGCTAATAAAAGCCATGGAACAGACACCAAGGGGCATCCTGAAGAATGAAAGTCTCATGTAAGCAGTGAGTGACTTGTGCAGGAGCTGTACTGAATGTGATATCCTGGAACCCTCTGGGTGCCAAGGGAGAGCTGAACCATTTCCTGGTCAGAGTGATTGAGAAACACACTGTCAACACAGAGTATACTGGAGGCAAATGTCTTTCTGCTGCCTGGCTTGCAACTTCCTAATGCCAATGGCAAGTCAGTGAAACTGCAGGTTCTCCATGGAATGACACTCATTCCATGAAGATGTTTGCACACTGAGTCAGTTTCTATAGCATCTCAACGGCTTCACACTTGAGTGTGCCACAGAAGAGAATGCACAGCAAATTATTAAAATTGTTATATTCAGGATGTAGGAATGGATGCAATGATCTAATCTAGACATAATTGGGAGTTACACTTATGGAGGTGATAATGTGATTAAATATATATAATATATTCAGTAACCCCTGTTCAACCCAAATTATAATGGGGGGAGCTGAAAGTCAATTAAAGACATTGATTTGATTATTTTTAGTTATTCAACTGCATGATTTTCTTTTTAAAAAATTCAAGCCTGGTAAAGATTACTTGGGTTTATTAATGACAGGTTCCTGAAATGTCTTTGTATAAATATACGTTAGATTTTTGACTGTTCAATTCAATTTTGAAGGTATTAGTAAAACCATCCAAACCAAGTTAGCAAATGAAATCAAACTCTACACAGGCTTTGGTAATAGAAAGCACAAATGGAGGTCTACCTTCTATTAATTATTAGACATGGGATTCAAAGCAAGCTTTCTGGCTTCTCTGAAGCTTAGCTTCCTTAACAATGAAATAGAGTTTCTCCTATTTACATATCTAGTCAAATGTGGACAGCAGTAATTTGAAAAAGCTCTGGAATGTCTCACATATATAAGGATTATGAGTCAAACATTGGCACAAGTGCTTATTCTCAGCTCTTGGGAGGAGGTCATCAAAGCCTGTCTGGAGGTCAGAGCATAGCCTGTGGGTGTCAGTCCCTTGCTTCCACCGTGTAGGCTCTCAGGGCCAAACTCAGGTCATTGGTCTTAATGCCAAGTGCCTAAACTAGCTGAGCCATCTCATCTCAGGTCGGCAAATAAATTCCTAACTGAGCATGTCCAGGCTGTGCTTTGAAATCCTGCTTTTTTTTTTTTTCAATGACTCACTGAGTTAATTAGGGTTGCTTACATGAGCATGGTTGTGGGGTTATTTACTATAAGAAAATAGATGATATCTTTCAGCACCCATTAACTTCCAATAACCTCCTCACTAGTGGTCCTCCCTGGCCTGCTGGAATGTTGACAGGTTCCATCGTGTGCAGGTTTTGTACAGGTAATGAAACTTGCTGTGAGTTCCTGAGTGCAACATCCATATCATGTCCAGAAGACAGCATTTCACAGAACTCCTCCCAATCCCTCAGCTCCTACATTCTTTTTGCACCCTCTTCTATCATGTTCCCTGAAAGGGGTGTTCATATAAATATCCCATGCTCAGTGCTTCTTAATCTCAGCACTTTTCACCAGTTTCGAGCGTCTGAATTAACAACTGTGGATTGCAAAAAACAGTTTCCACGACCAAGGTGGTTGCTCAGCAGTCTCTAGTCCTGGTCTTCACTGAGGTGTCCAGACACAGATTCTGACCTGGAATCACTGAGTTAAAGGGATATCGTATACAGACTGGTGAAGTCATTTGTCTCTTTGAACAGCTGCAAGTCGGACCAACAATTCCTAAGGGCTGGAGGTGGGAAGGTGATCCAGTGCACACAAAACAGACTCATCAGCTCCATAAACAAAGGAATAAAAACAATTTCAGTCAGTTGCAAAATAGGAAAAAGTTCAAGGAGGGAAAAGATTATTGTACTTTATCAAAAGAACAGAACAAAAGACGACGAGGGCTATCGCTCTGATAGTCTCTACGACACCTCATGGCGGACTGCTTTTATCTGGCTTTTAAAAGTTCCTCCACTTGGACAGCTGTCAACTTGCTTCCTTTCACCACCCACGTCCTTCCTCTCTTAGCTAACCTCCAGATTCTCTGCCCTGGGTGCTGACAATGATTATCTACCAGGTTCCAGGTTGACTTGATTCACTAGGCTCTGCTGCTGAGCTGCTGTGCCTAGTGGGCACGCGTCGGGGAAAGTCGGGGTAGCCGGCGACACCCTGAGCGATCAGTCATGTCCGCGAGTGTCCGAGCGCCCGCTGGCGAGGAAGAAGCATCTTTTCCGCCCAGCTCCGGGAAGGCGAAACCCGGAGCAGATAAATTCAGGACGCGCACGACCCCGCCCACTCAGGCAGTTCCTGTCACGTGCCCTCGCACTTTCCAATCAGCGTCCGGAACATCCAGGCTTGTGATTCAAACTGCGGCGCGGCGAGCTCCGAGTCGGCGCCGGCGTTGCCGGGCGACTGCTGTGGGTTTGGGAATGGAGCACCGTATCGTGGGTCCCGGGCCGTACCGGGCCACCAAGTTGGTGAGTGAGAGTGCGGGCCGGGCGGACCCCTCCCCCCCCCCGCAGCCGCAGCCGGCAGAGGAGGCCTGGACCAGCCCCACCAGGTGGGATGAACTTCATCTGTGGGCGGTGACTATGTTATGGGCTTTCGGCCTTAACGGGAAGCGAACACCAGGCGATCGGGTTCCCCTTTGTCTTTCTAGAGTCTGGGATAAGATTGACCTTAGGTGGAGCCCTAGGACCACCCTACCCGTGTAGCACTTGGGGGTTGCGGTGATCCACACAAGGGCGTGTCTCCTTCCTGAGTGACACTGTTGACACTTGAGTGTTCTTTGTAACGGTGCACAGTACTCCGGTGGATTGCTCCTCTAAAGGTTCCTGCCCCCTGCGTTTCAGTTTTTGTCAGCACCCACCTTAGCTCTCTGATAGTTGGTCTCCAAGCCCTGCAGATACGCCAGGGTGAGGCCTTTTCTCATGGGAACACATTTTGATATTTAGAGACTTAGCTGATCTGTCTTATTACTTGGAGGAAGTAATTTTACTGACCTCTGCCTCCAAGGATTTGCACAACGGAATAGACCCAGGTGAGGACTTTGAGTTTAGTCTGTGTGCCACTCTCAGGTGCATGTACCTTGCAATCAAATCTCAATGCTCTCTTTAAGAAATATTCTGGGAAAGGTGGGAACGAGGATCCAAACTCTCTTGTATTAGACTCATATTCTAGAGATGTAGTTTCCTTTATTTCTAGTGTTTTGTGGAGTCAAAACACCTTCTGGATGAGAAGTCTGATTTCGGTCTTCTTGTTCTTTAGGTTTTTTTTTTTTTTTTTTTTTTAGTAGACTTATGGATCACTTGGAGAATAATAATAATAGATTGTGAATCTTCTTCACAGAAAAGATCACTTGTCACCTGTGAAGTTTCTCCTAAGACTTTAGGGACTGCAGTATTGTTTCATTTGGCTGAAAAACATCACATTACTAAGATGCCTGTGAAGAGGATTGGAAGGAATCACTGTACAATCTACCGGACACCCAGAGTGATCCATTTATTTTAGTAAGCCTAAAATAATACATTTAGGTTTTCTTTAGAGCTAGTTCCTAAGAGGTATGAACAGTAATAACGGGGAGGGGGGAAGATAGTCTTAGAAATGGTGTTTCCATAACTGGTTCTACAGAAGTGGTTCCAGCATTTAAACTGCCTGAGGTCAGGAAGATAGAAGTTGTTCCTTTCAGTGACTTTCACAAACTCTTAGAGCAGCCCTGTCTTATCAGTGAGGGTGTTTCAAGAACCCCACAGCAGTGGTTTGAATAAGAATGGCCCTCATAGGCTCATATATTTGGATACTTATTCACCAGGAATGGAACTGTTCGAAAAGATTACAAGGACTTGGAAGTGTGGCCTTGTTGGAGGAAGTGGGCCACTGGGATTGGGCTTTGAGGTTTGAAAAGCCCATGCTAAGCCCAGAGTCTGTCTTTCAGTCTGTGGATCAGGATGTTACTCTTGGCTATTTCGCCAGCACCTGCCTGCCTGCTGCCATGCTCCCCCTCATAATGATGATGGACTAAACTCCTGAAATGATAAACAAGCCCCCATTTAAATGCTTTTTACATGAGTCGTCATGGTCATGGTCATGGTGTCTCTTCATAGCAACACCTAAAATTATGATAGTGATAGACCCTATATATAGTAAACATAATATGTGTTTTTCCTACTATGTCTATGATAGTTTATAAATTAATACAAAGAGGAATTAACAGCAATAACTTCAAAACGGAGCAGCTAACATACTCTAATAAAGTTCACTATAATACTTGGGAGCTATTGGTCATAAAATAGAGATTACTTGAACACATGCACTGTGATACCTCATCAGTTGGCCTGATAACCTAACCATGACTAAGTGGCCAGTGTGTGAGTGGTATATGCAGTGTGGATACACTGGACACTGAGATCATTCGCCTCTTTGGTGTGATGAAGCAATTTCAATCTGCCACTCAGAGCTGCATGCAGTTGAAAACAGACACAGTGAAGTTTCGGAAATTTTCTGTTGTTCAGATTACTGGTTACTGTGGGTAACTAAAACTTTGGATAATGGTTGACTGTTATATCTTCCTCTAGGGTAGTAAAAAAGAACATGTTTCATCCTCTACACAATTTATTCACAATACTTGTAAACAAATTGGACCTTGGTATGACAAGTCCTTATCCTGCCATATGATAAAAAATAAATATAATAATTGGACCTGCTTTAAATGTTGATGGGGTGGCTTGTAAAAGAATGGCCCCAATAGGCTGGGGAAAAAAGAAAGAAAAGAAAGAGAAAGAAAGAAAGAAAGAAAGAAAGGAAAAAAAAAAGAAAAAAAAAACATTAAATTTGGGTTTCCTTACCTGGCTGGTCTCAAACCCACAGAGATCCACCTGCGTCTGCCTCCTGAATGCTGGGATTTAATGAGTGCACCACCACCGCCCAGCTAATGCTTTCTTTTGTGAGAGTTGCCATGATCTTGGTGTCTCTTCACAGCAGTGGGACACTATCTAAGATAGTTGTGTGTATGGGACGCATCTCTTAATGGGTGTAGAGGTTTACTATATAGATAATGCTGGATTCTCTGTGGCATTATTGTGTTACCAAAGGAATCTGTAAAGAAAAATACTATCTTTGGATGCTTTTGATCCCTACCTCCCATGACATTCAAGCCCATTTTAGGTTTATCAGTTAATTAAAAAGAAAAGTATATGGATAATTAATAAAGACCCTTCAGTTTTACCGATAATCAATTCAGCTTCCAATTTTATTATTTATTTGAGAAACTTAATGTTAAATACTTAGATTTAAAAGACAGATCACCAGTTTTTTCTACCTAAATGTGAGGGTTGCTGTTACAAGAAATTACAGTGGTTATTAAAAGTAAAACCTGTAGATATTTTCCAAATATAAACCAGCCACGATTTGAAGCTTTTATTGCATAAATAAATGTTTTGTAACTCATTCTCTCTTGTCCTTTGAGGCTGGCATTTCCTTCCCTTATCCTTGACCCAGCTCTCTTTTTCTTAACTTCACTCTCAACTTCAGGAAGTGCCCAGAGAGTTGTTTAGCACCTAAACAAGAAAGGGTGAATATCCTTTTTCCTGGTTGGCTGTACTTTCTAATAACATGTAACAGCTTCATTTTCTAAGGCACTGATTAGCTAAAATTTTATGGTTAAAAATGAAATGACAGGACCAGTTCATGACAGTACTGGAGCTAGTCAGCTACTTATTCATCCTCACTGAAACAGCTGCTTTTTTTTTTTTTTTTTTTTAAACACATGTAAAAATGGCTCACAGAAGACTTCCACTGTGTAGTTTGGAACACATTGCTAACCTTTTGGAAGGTAGTTACTGTGGGAACACGGTCCATGAATGAAGCTGTGTGAGGAGAATTTTTGAGAACTTGTGAGATAACTCCAAGGACACAAGGCAAATGTCTTGTAATCTTTGTTTTTCCATAACATGGATTGTTCTTGGAGTGTGCTTTCATGCCCCTCCCAGGTGTGATAGGAGTAGGTTTACTTTAGATTACCCATCATCTTCCCCATGATTATCTAGAATGATGTTTCCAAGCTTGAGTTGTCCTCAATAACTATATACAGCCTGAACTCATGTGACCTTGCCCTTGTGACTGTATACAGCTTGAACTCAAGTCAACTTTTCCTAACCCTTAGAATACCCTCAGAATATAAATTGTCTGATGCACTAAATAAAGATGGCTATTGCGTGAGACTTTAGTCCACTTCATTTTTAGGCTCCACTCTATCCCAGGATCATGTCACTAATAGAGCAGTGACAGTTATTATGAAGTTTACACTATACAAAGGTACAGTGGGGAGAAAGGTTGACATATTCCTGCTGTGTGAGGAGCAAAAACAGTAGCCATTTATTCACGAATTCACATTCTAGAAGCAAAGAGTAGGCAAGAGCCTCATGAGGGGTGGGATTAATTCTGAGGCATGCCAGGAGGATTGCTGTGGTGTTCTTGATGTCTCTGGCATAGGCTGTGGAAAGCTGTGACTGTTTTTATGTAGTGACCACTCTGATGTTTGCAGTATCCATGCAGGATTGCTTCTGTCCGCTGATGGCTGGGATGTTAACTAGGTCATTGCCATGTTCATAAAGCTCCCAGCAGGAGCTGGATAAATGGCTTCCTTATTCTAGACCTATTCACTTCCTGATTTCCTGTCACTGATGCAATTTCACTCATAAACAAGGAGAAAAAGGCTCAGTCGTCTTGAAGTTATTTTAAAAAAATGACATCTAGAGAGATCTGTTTTTTTTTTTTTTTCTTTTTTTTTTTTTTTTCTTAAAGGGACATAGTGGCTCATATGATTCCATCTGGGGCTTTTGGGGGAAAAAAAATCTAATTTTTTTTTTTTTTTTTTTTTTTTTTCTGAACACATGCCAAACCTTATGCAAACTGATCTGGGATTAGAACCCTGCTCTCACCCAGTACATGTTTTTCCCCCTTAGTCAGAGACTGATTCTGTTCTATTGAAGCAGCCCAACATCTCCTAGTCAAGGCCAGAATCACTGTGCCATGAGCACCACCAGCAGTGAATTAGAGTGAGTCAATATGCACTTATCTGACACAGGCTTTTTTTTTTTTTAAAGGCTCATAAACCAAGTGTAAGCAAGAAGCCATGTGTCTCTTTGATTTGACTGGAGTGCACTGAACCTGTGCATGCTACCTGTTTCTTAGCAGGCTGATTGTGGGCAATACCTACCTCCTTGGCCTTTTTTTGATTTTTTTTTTTTTTTTTTTTAATGGGGATGGGCAGGAGGGGAGTCTTGTTTTGTATCTCAGGCTGGCCTTGAACTCACCACATTCATCTTGCCTTAAGGCAAATTAGGAGACTATGGGTATGTGCAAGCGCTGTAGCTAGTTTCTATGATTTTGTATATCAGAATCTCAACTTTTTTGAGTTTTAGTTTGTTATAATTTAGTTTTCTAGAATTGCTATATCATACAGAAATGTGTTAACTGTGCCCCAGTACATTCTGCTTATTGGCAGAGACTGGACTGAATCCTGGAGACTCAATGCAGGAATGCAGGGGACTGTTGTATATACTTGCTCAGTTTTAATGGCTACACCCACTCTGATAGTAAAGGTAATGGCAATATATGGGGGAGATTTATTAAGTGCCTACCTGCTTCAGAGCTGGCACTTCGATAGGCTTTTTATTTTTCTTTTGTAGGTCTCTGGTCTTTGTTGCTCTGTAGCAGGGAGATACACAGGGTTGGCTAGCAGCGAGTGTGTGGCTGGCCTGCTGGCCATTGGCAGAGCAGGCTGTGAAGTTAGACAGGGCTTCAGAGCCTGAACTCTCTATTCAGGCTTCTGTGTCCGTGTGACATTTGAAGATGCCATGCCTAACTAAACTGTGTTCTTCCAGAACAGCCTCAAAACCAACACCCTCTCAGGCAAGCAAAGGCATGAGAAAAGTTGACTGTAGTAAAAGAATAGATGTGTGATTTGAAATATGACTAGTGATGTTTTCAAATGACTTTCTTTGGCAAATAAGCAAAAGCCTGATACTGCTTTGTAAAGTTTTTTCTCTCCTGTCCTAGGTCTTTAACATTAGGCAGGTATCATTGTTACCATCCATGTCTTTATTCTTTCCCCATGCAATTCCGCTCACACTATGAACAGTCTAGAAGCGTTTGCTGAATGAAGTCATATTAAACACGGGATGTCTAGGAATGGATTATGTATAATGGCCTAGATTTTGGGGGATCAGGTTTGGCATTGTTTCACTATATAGTCTGAGCTGGTTCTGGAACTCTGCTCTACGGGGTGTTGGGGGGTGGTGGTGGGGGTGGTGGTGTTATATATATGTGTGCAGTACCAAGCCCAGCTATGAGCTTAGTTTTAACCAGTACTACTACCAGGGTTTTCATTCACAGAAATTCAGGTTTTCACTACTAGCCCGACTTGTTAGCAGTGTCTTTAATAACTATTCCTTGAATGAATAAAGTATGAACTACCCTTTAGGAACTGCGTTTTGCTTTGTTTCTCTTCTGTAAATAAGTTCTATTTTTGCTTCAAGTGTAACAAAATGACCATAACTTAGACTATTTTAACTGTTCCTAAGTGTATACTTCTATGGTATTAATTACATATACACCGTTTTGTAATCATTACCTCTCATCATTCATTCTCTAGGTCTTTTAGAGTTTGAAGGCTGCAAATAAAGTACTAAATCTCCATCTGTTATTCCAGTGCTTTTTAATTTTAAAATTTGATTTTGTCTGCCTAGTTACCCGCTTGCCTACCTACCAACCTACCAATTTGTGGATCAATCTGTTTATCATTTAACTTAGGGTCTTGCGTATACTAAGCAGGCTCTAGTCCTGAAGCAGTTTATTAAATGGAAAACTGGTATTCCTTGATTTAAATATTTGGGATGTAGTCACCTCTAAAAAACACTAGTTGATAACTAAATACTTTTGTGTCCTTTGCCTAGTGGAACGAAACAGTGGAGCTCTTTCGTACCAGGATGCCTTTACGGAAACATCGCTGTCGTTTCAAAACTTATGAGCACTGCTTCACAGCAGCTGAGGCTGTGGACTGGCTACATGAGCTTCTGAGGAACAGTCAAAACTTTGGGCCCGAGGTAACTCGCAAGCAAACAGTCCAGCTGCTAAAAAAATTCCTGAAGAATCACGTGATTGAAGACATCAAAGGAAAATGGGGTCAGGAGGATTTTGAAGACAACCGGCACCTCTACAGGTAATGGCAGTGTGTAAATACTGCAGGAGGGCTTTAGGGAGCCTGAATACATCTGCTCAGCATCTGGGAACTTCCTGAAGTGAGAGAATTTACTGTGGCCACTGAGGCGATGACTCTGTCTGTAATGTGCTAAGTGCCCAACTGAATGAGCTGTTAAAATAAAACCAATTGCAATTTGTCAGGCTCCATCAGAGCACCACAGAACAGGCTTTTGTTGTGGTAATTTTCCAGTAAGGAAAAGTTTCCATGCCTTCTGCTTGCCTGGGAGGATGGGTGTAGTAACTTAGTACTTCTAGAGTACCTGAAGGGGAAACAGTACCTCCAGGCTTAGCTTTGCTGAGCAGCACTAAGGTTGGAATTATCAGGGGCAGAAGTCTGGTCTTGAAACAGCTCAGAGTACATGTGTGGGATTGTGTTAGAATTCCTTAACATCTCTGGCTGAGCCTGGAGCTGCAAGGCTGCCTTTCGCCATTTGATTTGCTGACAACATTTTATGATGTGGACATTTACCACAAGGTACCCTTGATTAGGGGTGAGAACCAATGTCCACTTCCTTTCTCCGAGTTGGGACCCTGAGGCTAGGACCTGCTCAGACCCTGCGCATGGTGCCACAGTATCTGTGAGTTCATATGTGCATCTGCAGCATATCAGGACCCAGGCTCAAGTTGGAAATGAGTTATATATCAAAAATTTTTTTTGTTTACATTCGGGATGTTTTACCAATGAAAGTCTATGTAAATATTCTGTGATTTAGAAAACTCTGAATTCTAAAACGCTTCTGGTCTGCAGCATTTTGTATGAGGGTGATGTTAAATTGGAGGAGGCACAGACACATAAAACAGTGGGGCACAATAGAAGTTGAGAGGCAGATGTATACAAATACAGTTGGTTGATAGGAAATGATTTTGGCAGTGCTAGATGTTGACCCAGAGCTTTGTACGTGTTAGGCAGGTACTCTATAGCTGAGCCACATTTCCATCCATAGCAAAGGATTTCCCAACCTTTGGATATCCAGCTATATATAAGCAGAAAATAATTCCCAATGAATTTCAACCTAAACCTTAGAAACTGTACAAAAATTAATTCAAAGTAGATCATAGATTTAAATGTGAGATCATAGACAAAAGTCCAGGAGAAAATCTTTATATCTTGAAGTTAGGTAAAGAGATGTTAAGATGGGATAGCAAAGGCACCAGCCACAAAAAAAAAGAAAAAAAAAAAAGAAAAAGAAAAAGAAAAAAGACTCGACAGATTGGACTATCAAAATGAAAAACAGATTGCAGCGAGATGGTGTTTAGAGCATGGAAAGGGCTGCCGAGTAGGCTCAGCAGTTAAGAGCTCTTGTTCCTCTTGCAGAGGACTCAGGTAACATCCCTAGTATGTACAAAGTAGCTTATAACTGTAACTCTAGTTCCAGGGATCTAAAGCCCTCTTCTGATCTCCAGGTACAGACATGGTACATAAACATGCCTGCCGGCAAAACACTTAATACATTAAAAACAAAACAAAACAAAACTAACAATAAAAGAGGACAAGAAGACAAATAACAGGCAGAAATATCTTCGAGTCATATTTGTGACAATGGACTGGTACCAAGAACACATGAGCTCAGCAGCAATAGAGCAACAACAAGAATGGAGATGCAAAGTAAAGCAACAACAGGATGCTACTAAGTGTTACAATGGCTACAATAGAAATACCAACACTGCCAAGTACTACTGAACTGAGATGCAGAGGAACCCTAGGCTGGCAGTCACTTTGACAGTTTCAGATAGAGTTAATAAATATAGATGATCTCATTGATCATCTATATTTTTATTGGATATTTTCCTATAGCAATGAAAACTTAGTGTATGAATGGAAAATATGTGAGTGTTTATAGAGGCGCTATTAATAATTGCCAGTAACTGGCTGGAAACACCCTAAATGTCCCATGGTTGGATGAGCAACTACAGATCATCTATAAAATGGAATGCTGTCAGGTTGGGAAAGGAAAGATAGAATATTTGGAGAAGTAATGAAACTGTGACCTTGTGAAACATTCTTGTACCAATACCTTGTAAATCTTTTGAAGGGACCTGTCCTGTTTTAGTTACTACCCCTTCAAATGGATGAACTATTTACTCCCTCTAGTGGACATTTTTTAAAATAGGAAAACACAAAATGTATATATGTGATTTTATTTTTCTTTCACTACTCATTTCATCAAGTCCATAAGGATCAATTTTCAGGCACTAGGTTTAAGTGCCAAGGTACTAAGACCATGAAAGTATGAGAACCTGGAGGCTCACGGACTTATTTCATTTCTTAAGCATGTAATATCCAATATCTAGTTGGTCAGTTGAATTTGGGGGCATAAAGAGAGTATAAAGAAGGCTTTTCTCTGTTTTTCTTTTTCTCTTTTTTTAAAGAAATCAGTACAAACTCACAACTGATAGTCTTTGTTAGAGGTGTCTTTATTGCTACATATGGCCTGCTTTCAGTTTCGGCAACACTAATTTTAAAAAGAGAATGAGTATAATCAGAGAATATTTGTATCTGTTGATACAATATATATATACATTTGGTTTTTTGAGATAGGGTTTCTCTGTGTAGCTTTGGAGCCTGTCCTGGCACTCGCTCTGGAGACCAGGCTGGCCTCGAACTCACAGAGATCCGCCTGCCTCTGCCTCCCGAGTGCTGGGATTAAAGGCGCCCGGCTTAGATATATTTTTGTCTTAAGTTGCCCCATTAGTTGCATATTTTCTGGGTTTCGGTACAGGACTAAGTGCTGTATGACCAGGTCCACCACAGGCACTTGTGTCACCTTGGAAATGTCTCATTTTTCTCTTTGGAGACATTAAAAATCCTGTCTACTAGCTATGTAGAAATATTCAGTTGATCCTGTTAGCCACAGTGACTCTGTTGTGCTATAGAACATTCCAAGTGACTCCTCCTGTCCAACTGTACCTTTGAGGGTCTAGATATCATACACACAGATTGGGGGGAAGGGGGACATAGCCAGGTGACAAAGGTGGCGAATTTCCAAGATGGTAAGTTTCTGCCTTACCCACCCCACTCAAGACAGATGCCTGGCAGCTTTAAACAAAGGCCTTGTAGGCGGTTGTCTTGCCAGAAGGCCTGCTGCTGCTGACTGACTCAGCAAGTTCAAAGCTGCCTCAGAACATGTTACATAACAACTGTGGGCCAATCAACCATCCATCTCTCCTCAGAAGGACCAACCCTAAATTGGGGTGGAAATCTCTTCAAAGACTTTAAAAACCCCTCCACCCCTTCAGGCTTCCTGAGGACCCTGCCCCCTTTTGCAGGTCTTTTTCTCTTGTGTTTCTGGTGTATGTGTATGTGTGTGTGTTTCCTCCAATAAACAACTTTCTTCAACTGCTGATTTTGGCTGCTCCTGTTAGCAGTGTTTGAGATTTCTTCACTGCCTTTTAAATCCTTTAACTGGCAGAGAAAATGAACCTGATCAAGACCCCAAGACAGTACCACCACTGTCCATCTTCTCTCTACCCCACTGATAAGCCAGACATGTTCTTGCTTTCCTGGGTGTTAGTTTCCCCAATATTGAATCATGGGTTGATGAGATCCATCATTCCTTCTTCCCCTCCTTCACTTGCTCTTTTTGGGGGATGGTGGTGGTGCTGGGGATCGGGCCCATGTTCTCTCTGTTCCATGCTGTCTCCCTCCACTCCTGCTTATATTACCAGGTCTTTAAAACAATTATTACTTACTTTTATTAAATTTGTTCTCTGGTCTCAAACTCACAGAGATCTGCCTGCCTCTGCCTCCTGAGTGCTGGGACTAAAGGCATGTGCCACCACCTCCCTGCCCGCTTTTCTTCTTCATATAAGAGAGAGAGAGAGAGAGAGAGAGAGAGAGAGAGAGAGAAGCAGAAGAACCACAGTGTATTTAATTAATTACCTACAGGTACTGTCTTAGGTTGGGTTTCTATTGCTGTGAAGAGACACTATGACCATGGCAACTCTTATAAAGGAAAACATTTAATTGGGGGTTACAGTTTCTGGAGTTTAGTTCATTATCATCATGGTGGGACATAGCAGCATTCAGGCAGACATGGTGCTGGAGAAGGAGCTGAATGTTCTACATCTTGAACTGTGCCATTGGGTTTAGCCTGAGCATAGGAGACCTCAAAACCCACTCCCACAGTGATGAACTTCCTCCAGCCAAGCCACGCCTCTTAATAATGCCACTCCCTATGAGATTATAGGGCCAGTTACATTCAAATTACCACAGGATCCCATAGCAAATTAATAAATGAGAATTTATTTTACTGGCAGTCCATGGAGTGATTCATCTGTTTTGTTTGGTTTCCATAGTAATTTTAGTTATTATTTACATCTTATTTTTATATTTTCTATTTTTTGTAGGGTAATGCTTTCATGTTCAGATTTTACAAGATGCAAAAGATACAAAGCCTTCTTCATATCTCCTCCTCAGTCAACTAGTTCTATTCCCCAGAGACACCTAATATTAGGAGTTGTAACTGTGTCTTAAAACATGATACTAAGGCCAGCCAGGCGTGGTGGTGTGCTTATAGTTCCAGCTACTTGAAGGGCAGGAGGACCACTTGGATCCTGGTGCTCAAGACCAGCTTGGGCAGCATAGTGTGAGACTTATATTAAGACTGGACAGTTAGGAATTTAAAAGGCTCTTGAAGGCACACACTCCAGTGGTCACACTCTACCATTTTCTTATAATATATCAGCCCACTTATGATAATGTTATCTACCTAGCTTAGGTTGGAACTGTGTCTGTGACTTTGTTAGTATAGAGTGAGTGCTTGGGGACTTCATTGGTAGAGAGAGGAGATGGAGGGACCCTATGGATGGAGTAGGATCTGGATAATAAGGAATGGAGGGTAGAGGGTATCTCTGGTAACTATGAGGTAAGAGCAAAGCAGCCACTCAGAAACACACTCGTCTGTAAGCTTTAATCTGACAACTGGGAGTTGACAAACATGGCTAGTCTTAGGAAGTCAA